CTGAGCCTTGACCATGGCATGTGGCACATCCCTTGTCAGTGCTCCCCATCCTGGCTATTCATTGTCTGGTGCTTACTCCTGGGCTGGTTTCCAGGGAGTGCTGTGTGGCTGGACAACAGGGACAGATGCTGAACATCCCCTGTGCCAAGTGTCGGAGGCCACGTGGAGCGCTGCTGCTAAGGGGCTACATCCTCAAGCAATGGCTGAGAGCCTGAACTCTCGCCTTACTTCAGGTTCCTTCACTGCCCAGCGTCACTCCTGATTTACGCCAGGAGAATGGGAGAAGTCTCAGACCGAGGGGGTTGCTTGTGTTTTCCACTGGTGAGCCAATAAAACTGCCCAAGAGGTGTGAATCCAGAGTAAGACCATTGAGATCTCGCTGGCGGATTCCCTCCTGGTTTATGTTGTGTAACCGAGTGTAAGTTCTGGACCTGCAGGCTCTCCGAGAGGGGCTGGCCCATTGCTTTGGTGGACAGTCTCCTGCAGTGAAGGGAAATGCATGGCTTCTCAATAGAGGAATCCGTCTTTCTGTCGTAATGACAGTTGTTGCACTAAACAGTAACTGGCCTCAGACAACAGACTGAGGGAGCAGCAGAGCAGGGACTGGGACCCAGGACTCCTGCCTTCCCGGCAGCACCCCCTTGCCCTTTTTGATAGAGCCCCGTTGTTTCCGAATGCTCCAGGTACCCCAGAGGCGATGCTCTGGAAAGGCCTGGGGCTGCTTTGGGGTTACAAGACAGGTTTCTACAGGCATGCTAGCAATAAGAGGGGATCAGAGAGGGGGTGGGACCCCTACTGGATGAGAGCGGTACCCCGGGGACAGATGATGTGGGGAAAGCTGAAGAGCTCAAGGCTTTTTCTGCCTCTGTCTTCACAGACTAGGTCAGTTCCCAGACTAATGCGCTAGGCAACACAGCATGGGGAGGAGTGAGCAGCCCGCGGTGGAGAAAGAACACATTAAGAACTATTTAGAAAAGCTGCACACACACCAGTCCATGGAGCTGGATCTAATGCATCCAAGGGGGCTGAGGGAGTTGGCTGAGGTGATTGCAGAGCCACTGGCCATTATCTTTGAAAACTTGTGGTGATCAGGGGAGGTCCCAGAGGACTGGAAAAAGGCAAATGTAGTGCCCACATTTTAAAAAGGAAAGAAGGAGGATCCAGGGAACTACGGAACAGTCAGCCTCACCTCAGTCCCTGGAAAAATCCTGGAGAGGATCCTCCAGGAATCCATTTTGAAGTACTTGGAAGAGGGGAAAGTGATCAGGAACTATCGACATGGATTCACCAAGGGCAAGTCGTGCCTGCCCGATCTGATTGCCTTCTGTGATGAGGTACCTGGCTCTGTGGACATGGGGAAGTCAGTGGATGTGACATACCTTGACTTTAGCAAAGCTTTTGTTACGGTCTCCCACAGTATTCTTGCCAGCAAGTTAAGGAAGTATGGATTGGATACATGGACTGTAAGGTGGCTGGCAAGATGGCTAGATTGTTGGCTCAACAGGTAGTGGTCAATGACTCAATGTCAGGTTGGTGGTCAATTTCTAGTGGAGTGCCCCAAGGGTCGGTTCTGGGATCGGTTTTGTTCAGCATTTTTATTAATGGCCTGGAGGAGGGGATGGATTGCACCCTCAGCAAGTTCCCGGATGACACTAAGCTGGGGGGGGGGAGGTAGATACGCTGGAGGGCAACAATAGGGTTCATAGAATCATAGGACTGGAAGAGACCTCAAGAGGGTTCAGAGTGACCTCGACAAATTGGAAAATTGGACCAAAAGAAATCGACGAGGTTCAACAACGACAAGTGCAGAGTCCTGCCCTCGGGACGAAAGAATCCCAAGTATTGTTACAGGCTGGGGACTGACTGGCTGAGGAGTAGGTCCGCAGAAAAGGACCTGGGTGTTATTGTGGATGAGAAGCTGGATATGAGTCAACAGGGTGCCCTTGTAGCCAAGAAGGCTAATGGCATATTAGGGTGCACTAGGAGGAGCATTGTCAGCAGATCCAGAGAAGTGATTATTCCCCTTTATGTGGCACTGGTGAGGCCACATCTGGAGTATTGTGTCCTTTCTGGACCCCCATTACAGAAGGGTTGTGGATGCATTGGAGAGGGTCCAGCGGAGGGCAACAAAAATGATTAGGGGGCTGAAGCACACGACTTACAAGGAGAAGCTGAGGGATTTGGACTTGTTATTCTGCAGAAGAGAAGAGTGAGGGGGGATTTGAGAGCAGCCTTTAGCTACCTGAAGGAGGGTTCCAAAGAGGATGGAGAGAGGCTGTTCTCAGTGGGGGCAGATGGCAGAACAAGGAGCAACGGTCTCAAGTTACAGTGGGGGAGGTCTAGGTTGGATATGAAGAAAATCTATTTCCCTAGGAGGCTGGGGAAGCACTGGGCTGGGTTCCCTAGGGAGATGGTGGAATCTCCATCTCTAGAGGTGTTTTAAGTCCTGGCTTGACAAAGCCCTGTGTGGGTTGATTTAGTTGGGGTTGGTCCTACTTTGGGCAGCGGGTTGGACTCTCTTCCAACCTTCAGATTCTACGATTCTGGGATTCTGTGCTTTGCTTCTTCTGCATTAGCAAAGATTGAAGCCCACTTGGGCTATTCCCTCTCCTCACTGGTAACAATTTTGCCTTGTATTCTAGTCACATCCCATCCAGTCCTGTTCCTGCCATGGTGCAGCGCTCAGAGCTCAGCTTCTGCCGTAGGGGAGAAAGGGGCTTGACGGTTCTGTTTCTGGTTCTGTTTGCACCTGCCAAGGGACTGCTGTGCAAAGATAGAGTCAGGCAGAAAAAACATTGATCTAAGGCGGGGCTGGCATTACTTGCTTTTAGAACCTGCGCCTGCTGCAAACCATGGGCCCATGCACAGAGGGTGCGAATCAGCACCTCTCACTTGCAGGGTCTGTGCTGCTTTACACCAGCTAGGGCTGGCTTATCTTGCTGGCAAACACAGCTCCTGCGTGCAGGAACATTTCCTTGGAAGTTCATGTGGTTGGTGCTGGTGGAAGGTGCCAGATGGAGCCGTGCTCCTTCTCCACCAAAGAGGCACCTCTTCAGTGCCGTTACTGTTGTCCTGTTTGGAGTTACAGAGTTTAGAAGGAAATCACTGGAAACACAGAGCTGGAAGCAGCTGCAAGTGTCCATTTGTTCCATAATATAGAACTAACTAGAACCAGCCCAAACCAGCTGGTCTGACCCCTAATTTAGTTACTGTAACAAAAACAAGATCTGTTTCTTCAACAACCCAGTACACAATATACCCGCCCCCCCCCTTAATAAGAACATTCCTTTAATAAAACTAACACTAACCAAGGGATTACGGCGGACGTCTGGTGTTCTTGAATCCGAAGGCGTCATGTCAAGTGCAGGCCTAACAATGGGCTCGAGACTTGAAGAGTGAACAGGTGAGGCTGTCATCTTTGAGGGAGATTGTGTTCGCTGCAGGCGGTGATGGAGGAGGAGGGTCAGAAACAGGTGACTCTTGACTCAGTAGCTCACCGGTAGTGGTGAGGTCGGGCAACTCAACTGGAGATGTGTCAATGGGGCCGGCATAACCTGGCAACAACTGATCTACATGCCGCCGCCAGATGAGATCCTCTGCAGTCCGCACAATATAGGAAACTGGTTCTGTTTGAGCGATGACAGTGGCAGGGACCCATTTACCTCCAGGAGCATAGTTCTGAGCCAAAACCAGCTCTCCAGGACTAAAGGTTCAGTCTCTCGCTCTGGATGCGCCTGATGACTTGACCTTGCTGTTGATGTTGTGCAAATTGTCATGGTTCATAAGGTTTCAGCAGTTCAAAGCAAGTGCACAGCTCGCGTCCCGTTATTAGAGAAGCCGGGGACGTTTTGGTTGTAGCACAAGGTGTATATCTGTAGGATAGTACGAAGGTGTCAAGATGCTTTTGTACGAGTGAATGTCCTCCAGCTGATTTCAAAGCTTGCTTCATTGTCTGCACAACCCTTTCAGCCATTTGACAGGTGGCTGGGTGATACAGTGCTGAAGTGATGTGATGTATCCCATTTGCTTTCATACAGTTTCCAAACTCCTGAGAGACAAACTGTGGACCATTGTTGCTCACAAGTCGTTCTGGAAGACCAGAATGACAAACGATTCCCTGTAGTTTTTGGATAGTACTCTCAGCAGATATGGACGGCATCATAGAGACTTCTTGCCATTTGGAATGAGCATCTACCACCACCAAGAACATGCTACCTTTAAATAGGCCAGAAAAATCAACATGAATACGTTGCTACAGTTTCTCAGGCCAGTCTCAAGGGTGAACTGAAGGTGCCAACTGAGGTGCATTCTTCACACCCTGGCATGAAATACAAGTGCTTGCCTTCTCTTCTATGGCACTGTCCAAGCCAGGCCAATAAAAAATAGCTTTGTGCAATTTCTTTCATGCGCACCATTCCACAGTGACCTGAATGCAGCTGTTCTAACATCTGTTGTCTCAGTATCTTTGGAATAATGACACGCATTCCCCACAACAAGCACCCAGAATGGATTGATAACTCTGTCCTCCTGGACATGTAGGGAACAAGGACAGGTGAGACCTGAATGTTCCCTAGAGATGTTCCAGTCATCACTAGGTCCATAACTTGGGACAGTTCTGTGTCCACACGAGTTGCTCTCTTAATTTGTGCAGCAGTGATAGGCATGTTCTCTACCTAGTCAAAGTAGAAGATTTCCTTCTGGCCAATATCTTGATGTTTGACTGGCCAAGGCTGCCTACAGAGACCATCTGCATTGTCATGCAGAGTGGATTTCTGATATCTGATCTCATGTGTGTGTCCCGAAAGCTACAAGGCCAGTCATTGCATACAACTAGCAGCCAATGGTGGAATTCCTGTGTGTGGACCAAAAATTGCAGTGAGGGGTCAATGGTCAGTGAGAAGTGTAAACTTCCATCCAAACTGGTATTGGTGAAATTTCCAAATCCTGAAAACAATTTCCAATGCTTCATGCTTGATTTGCGCATAATTCATTTTTGCCTTACTTAACGTGCGTGAAGCAAAAGCAATTGTTTTCTCTTCTCCCGGAGGCATAATGTGTGACGAGACCACTTCCAATTCCATACGGGGAGACATCACAGGCCAACTGTAAAGGTAAGGATGGATCAAAATGCATCAGGACCTCCGAGTTTAGCTTTATTAAATGCAACATCACAGGCTTCAGTCCACTTCCAGGCCTTGTTCTGGCCAAGGAGCTCATGAAGTGGGTTTAACAGTGTGGCGAAATGTGAACTAAATTTTCTATAATTGTTCAATAGTTCTAGAAATGTGTGAAGCAAAAAGATAAAAATGGGGATACAGAGAGAGACACAAATAGTGTTCTGGCACTGACCAACTTTTCCATATTCAACAGAGGGCTGAAAGAATGTACAT